ACTTTCGATGGACAGTGTTCGAAGTGTTGCCATATCGGATAACATCTTTTTCTTCCTTTTTCAGGCACAACGACTTTTCGGGGCGATTGTTCGAACGATTACTCCATTAATTTGCACGCGATACAATCGAGAAGAGTACTTTGTTTCTTAAGTAGATCATCCCGAGATGAGATCTGATACTTTTGCAAGGTCGTCACCAAGATACCCGACCAGCCGCCGTCAGAACACGCTTTGGGTGAGCTTTCACGATCGCGTCTGATAGTTGATCGCAAGAAAACGAACATCGATCAGTGTCGATAGCTCAGGATAGTTGCGGCGATGGCCTCGCGTCGGTTGGATAATCGTTTAATTATGAATGGGTCACGATTCAACCTCGCTCAAAGAAATACGATTGGTGGTCAGGGCCATGTATTCCCGGGATGAGAAAAGGCGTGACCGGCCACTGGGCCTTCGGCTATGGTTATGCTTACGGGGGTACGAGAGAAGAACCGAAGATTTCGAAGGAGCGTTGCCAATTTAATCGCCATGAGTATGTTTTCATGCAGCGGAGCATAATGTTGGATCTCTAGTGCCTTTTAATTCCGCATGTGTTGAATCTCGCTGATTATTCGGATTCACGTTAGATTGACCAGACGTAGATTGATCATTTACACTATCCGCGATTAATTCGTACTTTTGCTGTCATTTCTTTAGTTTGGGTTTATTTAATATCTTTGAGTAATATTTCCAGACATTTATTAAAATTTAAGAAAAGAACGTTTGCCATGTCTTCCTTAAATCGTTGCCAATTGACGAGAAGGATCCAAAATCCAAGTAAAGCGATCAAGTTGTACGCCGAAGTAGTTAGTTGTGACCTTTGTCGTGTCGGACTGCGTTGGAGAACACGTTTGTATGAACGAATTGTTCTCGATTAAACTGATACCGTTCTTCCGCGACGGTAGTGTGACATATACTGGCCAATGGATAGTGGAGCAATACTTATATATCACGCACATATATCTTCCCATCAATGTCCCTTATTTATGGGCTTGTACACATTTCGCGAAGCTGCGCGTGTGTATATGTGCGTGTGTGTGTGCATTACTTTTGCCGGGGGTAAAGATTTCGCCCCTTCTCTCGCGCGGGGATGGAAGCAGCCAAGCGGCGGAATGTCGAGGCTTTTGAAATTGCTATGGTTACCAGATGGACACAACATATGTTACATACGTCATGTTAAACGCATTACCGGTTCTTCTTTTGAGCTTGAACTTGAAGAATGTCGGCGGATATAAACGCGCATGATCTACGCAACCTTCTTTACCACGTGTTGACAAGCCGTTGACAAGCCAAGCTAAAACTGAAAACATGCTTATTACATGAGATTATCTTTTTATTGAAACAATTATAGCACTTTGATCAAACAATAGTAGTATTAGTTTCGGCATCAAGTTTATTTGGATAAAATTATATGTTACTTCCTCGTCATGATTATCATATATTATTTTTTGCTGATGCTGATTAACAGAATATATAATTAAGAGGAGGATATAAGTAGGAGGAGGATCTTATTAAATCTCTTATTTGTACATATATAAAGAATTTTGCTGAAATGCATTCTATGAGCAAATTCAATTATCTTTGAGAACACGAGAATGTTTTAGACAATAAAGTATGTCAATATATGTGACAACTATTACAAATATAACATAAACATATATTTTATATTTAATTGTGATTATAATTTCGGAGAAGATGTAAACTATCTGTTAATATAATAAATTATAAAAAATAGAAAGAAGTATATTACGAATTGTACTTTATCACATATCTATCTATAACATCAATTTAATAAGAAGACGATAATTCGTAAACGTCAATTCCATTAAGAATATATTAATAAAAAAAGATGATTGGAATTATTAGATGTTTAAAACATCTGATTTAATGTTTTTCTATTTATATACTCATCAAATTCTATTTATTTATTGTTAAATGCTCATTTATTGATTTCTTTGTTAATAGCGTTGGATTTCAGTCCATTTTTTCCTTAAATTATTCGTATTTATAGTCGCGTTTCTGTAAATTTATAGTCGCACCACGGAAATCATTGTCGCAATAGAAACCAGTTTTGAGAAGTGATACAATTTAATAAATGGATTTTGAGAATCAATCTGATAATCGTGACATTATCTCTATAATTGCGATTCAATTAAGAAATTCAGATAAAATTTATTTTGTAATATTTTATAATATTATTTCAGCTTGAATTATGTTTCTTGTAATTCAGTAAGATATTTTAGAGAGAGAGAATAGTGTACGTACACATATCAATAATCTTTAAAAGGAAATGAAAACAAAGTGAAATTATAGGAAAATATCATTAATGAACATAACATATAATTGTATGTATCGATATTAACAAAAGAGCTAAAGAGCAAAGAGAAAGTTGAAAGAAAGGCAATTTTACTAGAAATGCAAGCAAGATTCAGAGAAGTATAGTAGACAATATATATGTGTGTACTTTCTCTACAGCACGTTACAAAAAGAGTAGTAAATAAAATTAAAAAAAATAATTTAACTTTTTTTCGTCTTATAAGTGGATTTTACTAAAGTTGATAAAAAAAATAATATAAAGGGCAATAGAGGAATGAGGAAAAAGTTGATAGAAATGATTGATCAAAGAAACTTATGAAGAAACGTATCAATAAACACAGGGCCATCGCGAGGGCAAATGGGGCAGTCGCCCCGGGCGCCACGAGCTAGGGGCCGCCGCGAGGCGCCCCTCTTACGTGTTATTACATATTCTTACGTATTACTTATGCGAGGGGCGGCATGAGAGTTGTATATCATATTCGCGATAAAATATTGTTCAACCCGTTTAATATTGCATATTGCACTTTTAAATGTTTGTTAGTTGATGCGTTTGTTACATTCTATCATGAACTTAAAACTTAGGATTGTCTTTTTCTAAAGGAGAGTGGGGAGCGCCTTGTTGAATCTCGTCCCTGGCACTTACGGCCAACGCGACGGCCCTGAATAAACAATAGGATAACAGAAAAGTTTTGAACAAATCGATAAGAAAGTGCGACAAGATTGTCGCATACTATTTGCAGTTTTTCTCCCAAAATAAAATATATTTTTTCATAATTATGTCTTAAATATATATGGTAACAAAAAATTACGTTCTATTCGTTGAACTTATTTTGTTATTCATAACTTTTTAATAAACAACGAGCGACGGCTAAAACCTTTTGAAAGTTACTCAGGACCGTGTTCTCAATAATATACGAGGACTGACAATTAAGTTCGTAGAAAATATTTATTACAATTACAGAACATACTTATTTGTTATTTAATACACGGTTCCCTTTAAAATAGTCCCTTTCTAAAGCAATGCACTTGGTCCAACGTTTTTGCCATTGCAGGAACCAGTCTTCAAAATCATTTTCCATGAGACTGTTTAGAGCACGCGTCATCCGTTCCACCTCCGTTCGTGACCCCCAATGACGATCCTTCATGTCTTTCTTGATTTTGGGAAATAGAAAAAAATCAGAGGAGGCCCGATCTGACCTCCGATTTTTTTATATTCCCCGAGATCAAGAAAGACATGAAGGATCGTCATTGGGGTTCACGAACGAAGGTGGAATAGTTGACGCGTGTTCTAAACAATCTCACAGAAAATGATTTTGAAGATTGCTTCTTGCAATAGAAAAAACATTTGACCAAGTGCATTGCTTTAGGAAGGGACTATTTTAAAGGGTACCGTGTATTAGATAACGAATAAGTATATTCTGTAATTGTAATAAATATTTTCTACGAACTTAATTGTCAGTCCTCGTATATTCATAATCGACGACTAATCATGTCCAGACATGCTCTATTAGATTTAAAAACTCTGGAAGAATTTGTGCGCGTATCCATCTTTGGCGTAAGCTTCCGCGGAAATACTAACATAAAATGCATTAATATGTGAGAACGTTTACAAGATGTTATTTGAAACAGAGATGGCAACATTACTTATGTATTTTAACGTCCTGTTAAACATTTAATCATGCGCATACGCGCACACACACATACACAACTAACCAACCACCTGCACATAATGCTAGTTCATAATTATCCCGTGAGGATATTCACAGGTAAATATCCATCAAAAATTTGAGTAAATGTCTACTCACAATGCACAATCAAATTTTCAAAACATATTTACTGAGACACAAATTTCGGATCGATAGCGCATGATGTGAATAAGGTTCCTCGAAGCCTGTATATATTAAGTCAAATCATAAGAGATACAGTGCAAAACAGTAATAAATAAAATCTGGCGCCCAAATTAAATATGCTCAATTTAAAATATGGTATGGTATCAATAGTGAATAGATTTTCTTTTTCCATATATATTGCCGTTTTGAAAATGAAAGGTTTCAAAAATTTTGATCGGCGGAGGCGCTTATTTTGATACAAATTAAAATAAGCTGAATTGTGCAAATTAGAAACTTGCACATTACTTCCTCATCATTATATCTCACAAAGTTTAAGCTCCTTTAAGCATGCGGATTTTTCAATTTTTGCTTCCTCATAGAGAAAGCTTTGTGATATTTTTAAAAAATTTTATAAAAACTGTTCATCGGTCCTCACCAAATTCAATACCAATCATCTTTTAATGATACTCTATTTATGTAAAAAAATTTAACCCGATATTTCAAAATTTGCGAAAGTTACAACGTGTACAGACATTTCTTAAAAAATACAAAATTTTATAAAAAATGAATCCTTTCACCGATTCTCACCAAATTCAATACCAACCATCCTTTAATAATAATCTATTCATATAAAAAGATTTAACCCGATGTTTCAAAATTTGCGAAAGTTACAACGTATACAGACATTTCTTAAAAAATTCAAAATTTTATAAAAAATGAACCTTTTTACCGATTCTCACCAAATTCAGTACCAACCATTCTTTAATAATATTCTATCCATGTAAAAAAATTTAACCCGATATCTCAAAATTTGCGAAAGTTACAATGTATATAAGCATTTTCCAAAAATTCAAAATTTTATAAAAAATGAACCTTTTTACCGATTCTCACCAAATTCAGTACCAACCATTCTTTAATAATATTCTATCCATGTAAAAAAATTTAACCCGATATCTCAAAATTTGCGAAAGTTACAATGTATATAAGCATTTTCCAAAAATTCAAAATTTTATAAAAAATGAACCTTTTTACCGATTCTCACCAAATTCAGTACCAACCATTCTTTAATAATATTCTATCCATGTAAAAAAATTTAACTAGAACTATTTCAAAAATGGAAGTTAAGCGGAAGTTAACGGTTGTACAACAAATTGCGTACATACACACATATATACATACATACATACATACATACATACATACATACATTTTTTAGGGATATGATTTTTCGACGTTTTCGAACATTCTGAACACACTGGCATTGAAAACTCGAAAAAAATTTTGTTACAAAAACAAAGTTTCCCCTATGAGGAAGCAAAAAGAAAAACGATGCAAAGTTCACGTGTTCGTTCAAAAAAGAAAAATTATATTCTACAGAAAATATTACTTTACTGCATATTTTATTAGTTAACCTTTATTTCTTTTTCTGCAAAAATAATAATATCAAAAACTGCGCTAATTGAATTAAAACTACGCATATTATAAAATTTATTTTTTATGTATTATTATGTTTCAAAAAATATTAAATATATTTTATTAAATAAAGTGTGTGTAGTATGATTTGCATTTAACTCAAGTATTTGTGTACATGTTAATATAATTATAGAACCAACAAAATGAATTTCTTCAGATGTAATATAAGTATCAATAAATATAGTAC